CTCCTGAAACATGTCTGCAGTATGAGAGACGAAGTCTGGCCAGCCTTGCTTCCAAGGAACATTCTAGCTGTACTTCTCTGAACACAAATTGATTTGTTCTTTTGGCAAGTCCATGAGGTTTTAATATTCTCCTCCAAAATCATAATTCAAATGCATTAATTCTTCTGCAGTCTTCCTTATTCCACATTCAACTTTCACATGCGTATGAGGTTATTGAAAATACCATCACTTGGGTCAGGTGCACCTTAGTCCTCACACTGACATCTTTGCTCTTCAACATTTTAAAATGGTCTTGTGTCCTGCACATTTGCCTAATGCAATATGTCCTTTGATTTCTTGACTGCTGTTTCCATGAATGTTGATGGAATGAAGTCTTGGACAACTTCAATTTTTTCTCCATTTATAATGATGTTATTTATTCGTCCAGTGGTGTATTTTTCACAAACTTTTTGAAGATCCCTTGTTTGTATCTTAAAGGTTGTATCATCTTCATATCTCAGGGTGTTAATGAGACTTCCGTCAATACTGATGCCATGTTTTTCTTCATATAATCCAGTTTCTAGGATTATGTGCTCAGAATAAAGATTGAATAAGTATGGTGAAAGAATACCACTCTGGTGCACACCTTTCCTAATTTTAAACCATTAGGTGTTCCCTTGTTTTGTTCAAGCAACTGCCTCTTGGTCTATGTACAGGTTTCTTATGAGCACAATTAAGTGTTCCAGAATACTCCTCAGTGTTGTCCATAGCTTGTCATGATCCACACAACTGTAACCCTTTGCATAGTCAGTAAAGCACAGGTAAACACCTTTCTGGTATTCTCTGCTTCCAGCCAAATTCCATCTGATGTCAGCAATGATATCCCTTGTTCCATGTCCTCATCTGAATCCAGCTTGAACCTCTGGCAGTTCTCTTGTCAATGTATGTTTGCAACCATTTTAAAATTATCTTTAGCAAAATTTTACTTGCATGAGATATTAATGATCTATTGTAATGATTTCCACAGTCCATTGGGTCACTTCTCTTTGGAATAGGCACAAATATGGATCTCTTCTAATTAGTTGGCTGGGTAGTTGTCTTCCAAATTTCTTGACATAGATGAGTCAGTGCCTCCAAGTCATCATCAGTTTGTTGGAAAATTTCAACATGTATTCCATCAATTCCTGGTGTCTTATTCTTTCTGAATGCCTTCAGTGTATCCTGGAATTCTTCCTTCACTATCATTGGGTCTTGATCATATGTTACTTCTTGAAATGGTTGAACATCGACCATTTCTTTTTGGTTACAGTGACTCTATGTATTTCTTCTATCTTATGTTTTTAAAAACAAAGGTAAAGATTTGTTTTATTTCTATTAGGGAGAGGGGAAGGATAAATAGGACTGTTTCCAATGTGCTCTCAACTGTATAGCCACATGCATATATGCACACGCCAAAACTTCCCAACAAAAAACAATAAAACCAAGAATTAAAAACCAAAAACACCCTCAAACTGAAAAGATACTTTCCATTTTGACCAAAAGATTTGATCCCAGGAGGAAGTGCAAAATGCAAAATCAAATGACCAAAAACTGCTCAACAAACAGCATTATTGATACACAAAATTCTATGCTGCTGAACTACTGACAGATGATATTCACCGTATCTCTAAAACTTTGAAACCATGCCAGCTTCCCAAAAACCAGAAAAGATTTTTAGTTAGCTTTATTCTTTGATGCCTCATCAAAATTTTCTTTGAGATCTGGAACCTCGTCCTCCTCCTTCTCAATGTCTTCTGGTTTCAGTGTTTTGCTATCCAACACTTGCCTTGGAAACTATTCAGCCAACTTCCTTAGACTTGTTAAGCTGTTAGTGCCAAGCTGACTTAATATTCTAGGAAACATTTCTGTGACTGGTTTGGCTTCATCATGGCCAGTAATTGCAAAAGTGTTAGCAGAGAGAGAAGCTTGGACCTTGGGATTATTGGAATGAATAACTGTCCCTTTAATCATGTTCACCTCTTCAATACCAACAATATTATTCACAGCCAGTTTTTAAAGAGAAATCTGAAGCTTTTTGCCATCAGCTGTACTAACTCTAGGTCTTTGCATATTTTGTTATCATATTTGACTTCATCTTCTCAAGCTCACCTTTGAAATTTTCTGTTTAGCTCTTTTACCTCCTCATTTCTTCCATTTGCTTTAGAATCTCTACACTAGAGAGCAAGTTTCAGATTCTCTTTCTGACATCCATTTTGGTCTTTTCCTTCTTTCTTGTCTTCTTAAATGAACTTTTGCTTTCTTCCTGTATGATGTTCTTGATTTTGTCCCACAATTCTTTTGGTCTTTAGTGTCTACATCAAATACATCAAATGTATTTGAAATACATCAAATCTACTCTACAGATGATCTGTAAATTCAGGTGGGATTTGTTTAATATTTTGGCTCTCGTGGACTTGTTTTAATTTTCTTCAGCTTAAGCCTGAATTTACATATGAACAATTGATGGTCTGTTCTACAGTCTGCTCCTGGCCTTGTTGGCTGATGATATGGAGCTTTTCCACTGGCTCTTTCCACAGATGTAATCAGTTTGCTTTCTGTGTATTCCATCTGGTGAGGTATATGTGTATAGTTGTCTTTTATGTTGTTTTAAAAAGGTATATGCAATGAATAATTCATTGGTCCTGAAAAATTCTATCATGAGATCTCCAGCATTATTTCTATCACCAAGGCCTTATTTTCCAAATACTTATCCTTCCTCTTGGTATTCCAGTCACCAGTAATTATCAATACATCTTAATTTCATGTTTGATCAATTTCAGACTGAAGAAGTTGGTGGAATTCTTAAATTTAATCATCACTGGCTTTGGTGATTGGTGCATAAATTTTATTAATAGTGATATTAACTGGTCTTCCTTGTAGGCCTATGGGCTTTATTCTATCACAGACGGTGTTGTACTTCATGACTGATCTTGTTATGTTCTTTTCGATGATGAATGTGATGCCATTCCTCTTCAATTTCTCATTCCTTGCATGGTAAATCATGTGATTGTCAGATTCAAAATGGCCAACACCAGTCCATTTCAACTCACTAATGCCTAGGATATCGATGTTTCGGCCCATTACTTTTTTTACAGTTTCCAGTTTTCCTAGTTTCATACTTCATACATTCCATGTTCTGATTATTAATGGATGTTTACAGCTGTTTTTCTTTATGCTGAGTTGTGCCCCATCAGCAAATGAAAGTTCCTAAGATTTTACTCCATTCACATCATCACAGTCAACTCTACTTTGAGGAGGCAGCTTTTCCCCGGTCTTGTTTTGAGTGTCTTCAATCCTTAGGGTATAATCTGCTGGCATTATAGCTGACAATATTCTGGTGCTCTTTATCATGTTTGAGTAGTCAGTATTCTGGTGCTGACAGTGTTCCATTGCTATTCATAAGTTTTTCAGTGACTAAATATTCAAAAATAGTCTGTTTCTCCTTCTTCCTATTGGTTCTTTGTCTGTAAGCTCAGCTGAAACCTGTCCACTGTGGGTGACCCTGCTGGTATTTAAAATACCATTGACATAGCTTCCAGAATCACAGCAACATGCAAGTCACCACAGTACAACAAACTGAAAGACAAGTGATGGATTTTTAATCTTAGGAGAGCATAAAGTAATCAACTCTGATGTGTTAATAATTTTTTTCCCCTTGATCTAGGTGTTGGTTGCACGATTGTGTTCATTTGTAGAAATTCATCAAGCTTCATACTTACTTTTTAAAAAATTGAAATATAAGTTACTAGGTGTTCGAAAATGTGCGAAGCTGAAACCTAGTGTTCAGGTTCACACATTTTTGCTTACTTGCAACCATGTAATCATCACTCATATAAAGATAAAGAATAATTCCATCTTCTCTGAAAGTTCCCTCTGTCCCTTTCCCCAGATGTAAGAACAATTCTGACTTCTTTCACCATAGACATAGTTTTGAACTTCATATAAGTGAACAATAGAATATGTGCTGTCTTGTTTGGAAATTTTCACTTAGCATGATGTTTTTGAGCTTCAGTCATATCATTGCATATAGCAATAGTTCATTCCTTTTTATTATTAATGTTCCATTGTTGGACTGTAATCTGAAAGGTCAGTGGTTCAAATCCACCAGAGGCTCCTCAGAAACCTTATACAGGGTCCTTCTTGATAGCACTTAGCAACCACAATGTACCAAAAACATGTTTTGGCATTGTATGTGTATGTAAAAGTATGTTTATCAAACCTGTTATAATGGGCATTTTAATAGCTTCCATTTTGGGGCTAATGTGAATATTTACATTTCAGTCTTTTTGTGTTTATATGTTTTTATATTTCTTGGGTAAAAGCATAGAAATGGAATGTTGGGTTATAAGGTAGGTGCATATGTCTGTGTTTATTAGGAATTACTGAGGTGGTTTGTACTAGTTTACTTCATTGTTATATAAAAGTTCCAGTTGTACGATATGGTTGACAACACTTGGTATTATCAGTGTCTTTTAAAAGCTGCCCATTTGTGAGCAGTTCTCCATGTGTATAGTTGTTGTTAAGTGCTATATAGTCGGTTCTGACTCATAGCAACTCTATCTAGGGTTTCCAAGAAGCTGTTGGTGGGTTCGAACTGGTGACCATAAGTGTTAGCAGACCAGTGCTTTTTCAGGGCATCAATAAAAAGAGAAATACTGAACCAATAATAAAAATAATGGTTGTTGTTTGTAGTCCTAAAACACTGAACATTCAAAAAAATCATCTGGACATTTTGTTCATATCTGCCAAGAATCCAGATATCTGAATGTTACCCTATACATACTGATGAATTTTTATTTTATATTATGTAAAATTTTATATATTTAAGCTTTGTAATTAGGTGGAAAATTATTTCTGAAAAAAATCAATCTGTCCTTGAGAAATGGTTTCATCTTCCTTCCCTTCTCATTCTGATAGGAGGATATAAGGTTCACAGTATTTCAGCGAGAGCTCATCACTTTTCTCCTTCTTTCCCATTTCAGAGCACAAATGCCCAGTGGACGAGCGGGAGCAGTTGGAGGAAACCTTACCTTTGATTTTGGGGCTCATCTTGGGTCTGGTCATTGTGGTGACGCTTGCAATTTACCACGTCCACCATAAAATGACAGCCAATCAGGTGCAGATCCCTCGGGACCGATCGCAATACAAGCACATGGGTTAGAGACCTTAGACAGGCAGACCTCGGCCCCACCTACTGTCAACTGGATCAGGTAGAAAAACAAAAACACTTTTCCACCTCACACTTGAGGATACACCAACATAGCTACAATCAAATAGGCCTGGGCACTCAAGGCTTGCTTGGTCTGCTCCCATGCTTAAACCCAGGGATGAGGGCATTCTTTTGGATTCATGGGGTGAATGAGAATTGTTTTCTTTCCATGCTGGGGAATAGGAAAAAGGAGGTCAATTAGCTTCAATACTCATGGTGGTTTGACTTGGACTGTCCAATGGACAATACACACACAACTTGGAGGAATATCTGGATTTGAAGTTTGGGGATTGAAAGCACATTTCTTTTAGAAGGAAACCCCTTTAGATTCAGAAGAAGAGGGGATGCTTTGTTCCCTTGGACCTGACTGGCTTGCCCTATACTGTTGTCAGTGCACACACAATCCAGCCTCATGCTCCCTGCAGCAAGACCCCTGAAAGTGACCCATGCTTCTGGCTGGCGTTCTGCATGTCTAGTGATTGTCTTGGGAATGTGCCACTGCTACCGCACTCGGCGACATTGCAGCACAAGAACCCGTGTAATGTAACTATGCAGAGTTGTTTGGACTTCACAGTGTCTCAGGTCCAGGTAAGAGGACCTGAACAGTCAATTCATGTGAGTTTGTTTATCCAAATGAATTAAAAACACATTATTGTCTGACCTTTGCCTTGCATTCTTCAAACAAAAAAACAAAACTAAAACTGAGTCTTTGGCATCTAGAGGAGAAAGAGGAATTGGTAAGATGGATATTTCATTTTAACAAGAGTAAGAGCACAGAAGGATATGGAATTAATGACATAAAAGTTGGTTTGTCTAGCTTGAAAAAACCATAAATTCATTTTGGTAAATATGATTACTTTTAATAATAATCCCTCTTGAATGATTGGTCTTACATTTCTAGATGCTTCCTGGTCTTGTGCTTGGCATCTCACTTTGGATTAAAAAGCTTACTTTAACATGGAAGGCTAAATTGAGATTTATTTGAATTAAAATAATACTGTAGTGAAACTTCCTAGAGAAATGTACATTTTTAACCCCCATTACATTCCCACAAGGAGCTTTGGTAGTATAGTGGTTATGAGTTGGACTGCTAACTCCAAGGTCAGCAGTTCGAAACTACCAGCTGTTTCACGGGAGAAAGACGAGGCTTTCTGCTCCTATAAAGATTTACAGCCTTGGAAACCCTGTGCAGGGTTGTTAAGTGTTGGAACCGACTCCACAGCACATAACCACCACCACCACTATATTCTCACACAATCTTCACTGTATTATAGAACAGTTTATCTCTCTAGTTCTTCAACGGTTACAGTAGTTCAGTTCGCAGAAGTTCACTATCTTAGTGAACCTTAAAAAAAATCAGCAAGTCGCTGTTGTTTGACCAGTTTGTGTACTGCTCCATAGATCTCAATCATTCCCTCTACATTTTCAGGGTCTGTCTGGTACTGCCACCACCACCCACCAACTCATAGCGACCCTATGTAGGGTTTCTGAGGCTGTAAATCTCTACAGAAACAGAAAGCCCCTTTCTTCCACAGAGTGGCCAGTAGATCAGAACTGCTGATCTTGTGTAACACACCATACCACCAGGGCCCCTTGCCTGGTACTCATGAGGAATAATCCCTGATTCCTCATAAAAGTTAGGGTTGCACCAGGAAACGGAAACTAAGGGCTTTTCTCATTTGTGCTAGTGGACACACCCTAAGGACGACTTGCTTCCCTCTGTTATTCATCCTGTCACCCTGGGCCACAAACGAAGCCAGCCCTTTCCTTTTAGCATCCTGTGTATGTATGTTTTGAAAACTTCACATTTTGTATTTGGAACCATCCAAGAATCTGGTGAGACGATGACATGCTTAAATGTAGCTAGGATTCCACAGTGAGTTAATATTCCTTTCTGTAGGCCCTTAAGAAAACAAAAAGAATCTGAAACATGTCTGAGTTCCACTTCTGAAAGGCCCCTTGTGTGTGTGTGTGTCTGTTTAACTTGCTTTCATACAACAGAGGAGTCATGGTTAGTTTTGGAATCATCATTCATTCATTCTTTCAACCAATACAATTTTGAGCAGCTCCTGAGTGCAGGTCCATGGTCAACTTGAACTTGAAAGTTTGAGTCCATCAGGGAGGACTGACAAGAAAATCTACACACACAATCTCATTCAGAGTGCCTCAGCTCTTTTCAAAATGAAAACATTCCTGTGGCTAAGCTGACTAATTAAATTTTGCTGGCATCTACATTTCTTAATTCTTCAAATAAGAGTGACTTTTTTTCCACCTGTGATATGGGGTATGCAGTGTGTGTAAAAATTATTGTTGTCATCATTATTATTCATCAGTTCATCTTTATTGAGTTGTTCTAAAATCCTGTCTCAAACTCAACCTCATTTCTTTGGAACTTAGATTTATTTCTTTCAGCCATGACTTAACCTCTATTATCAATTCAGCAAAAGAAAGGACCTCCAGGGGCAGGGCAAGAAGTCCTCTGGGAGTGACCATGTCCAGCATTCTCCCAGTTCAAGGAGAAGGCCTGGTACCTAGAAGAACCTTGAGTCTCTGCCCATTGCTACTGCCCAGCATTTTGGACCAGAATGCAACTGTGTAAGGGGTCATCTCTCTGCCTTGCTCCAGAACTCAGCGATGGGGAATGAAAACAGATAAACCACAGATGCTCAATTACCCCATTAACTATCATTTTTTCTTTTTTGTTGACTCTTTAAACATGAATACCTCTGGGCACAAAAGGATGCTGGGTCTGCCTGCCTGGAAAAGCCAGGACAGATGAAACACATGCAGATTTCTTATAAGGGGAGGGTGCATTTGATTTAAATTCAGGGCATATTTGTTTGCAGGATCTGCACCCCTACCCATCCCTCAGAAAAATAGCTTTGAGTGAAACTGCCTTTGATGACAGGGGGAACTCAATTCTCACCCTGGACCTCCAAATTATAATTATTCTCTGTGGCTAAAATGATATCCCAATCAGAATCAAAGATGGATTCCTTGTTCAGCAGCTGCATGAAGTTTTAACTACTAGATCGCATCAGTTGTATTCTTTAGTGGCCCTTTTCCCCTGAGAATAATATGTGTTAGTTTAAACACTCACACAGCTAAACTAAAATCAACACTTTCTCACTAATTATTCAGTTTCCTCTTAATGAAGTTAACTTCCAAGTAGCAAAGACTTGGCAAAGAGGCACGGGTTGGGAGAGAAATTGAGTGGAGAAATGGGAGGAAAGAATGAGGGATGTGGATGGACGTTGCTATGACCCGCAGCGCCTGGTGGACGCATGGTGTCGTATGAATGTTATGCTGGGGAGCTAGTCCAAACCAGTGTTGGACTCAATTGCTTCTCTGGAACAATCTCCCAAGTGACTGTCTCAGACAGACACAACTTTGAATCAGTGTGTCTCAAAGTGCAGTTCGAAGCAGCTTGCATCAACACTTTGGGGGACATTGAAAAATGTTAGCTGTATGGCATTGTCACAGACTGATTGCTTGAGAATCTCTAGGGTGAGACTCTTGAATTTCCATTATTATTAAAGTGGTTTGGATGCAGGCTAACGTATGAAAATTTCTAGCCCAAAAGGCTTCGCCTATCATTTACCTACATGCAACATTAGCCAAATAATTGAGCTTCTGTCTGCTTTCTCATGTAAAAATCAAGTGAACTTCCTTATCCTTGCAAAGTTGTTTGAGGAGTCAAGCTAAAAGTTAAAATATCACAGTATCTGTTACACTGGAAATGCTCCGTAAAGGGACACGTTTCCAGCACAATACTTAGCATGTGTATTCCAGTTTTTACCGGCCAAACAAGGGTTTCTACAGGGACTTTTAACCTGATGTTACAGGTTTCTGTTTCAGTATATTTTGAATTCGAGGTATGTTTCTATGCAGGGCTTTTCACACACACCCTTATCCTCAGCAATAAATTTCTTAGGACTTTGTCAATTTGGGGGGCAGGGTAGGGAGCACAAGGGAATAGACATCCATGAACTTGGATGGGAAAAATTTATAATTTTAGTCTTTTCTAACTTCATATGAAAGGTAGAATTTCATTTAATTATGAACTCAAACTACAATAGAATAAGAATCTGTGCATTTGTCACCAGTAGAAATCACCAATATTTTCATAGCATGTAAGGCTTGTTGGATATGCTATAAATACCATTCCTATTCATTATTTTAGAATTTTGGTATTTACTAGATCCATCACAAGATCTTTCGATTTAATGCATTATACCTCAAAAGCAATGCTTTATTTATTTGGTGGAGTAGGGGCTTATACTTTGGGCTGCCAAATGCAAGATCAAAAGTTAGAATCCATCAACCACTCCAAGCAAGAAAGCTGAGACATTCTGCTCCCACAAAGATTTACAGCCTTGGAAACTCTACACAGGGTTACTATGAGTTAGAACTGACTTGACGGCATACAACAACAACATAAGCCTATATATACACTTTACCCTTATGCAATAAAAATTGTTTTTCTGAGGAGGTATGCATAGATATTCATCCAACAGGACTCAGGGTGCCAAATAACCCCATTTAAAGTGACTGGACCTGTCAGATTGGCTCCTGGGCAAGATGGGTGCATTTTGCCGCACTGAAACAATGGCTCATCAGACAGTAAGTATGTATTAACCCTTTCTAGGTCCTGCTTTGAGTGTTGAGGACCCGTTAGTGGGTGGAATAGGGAAAATGTGCTGCCCTCATGGAACTGAAGTTCTAGTGTGGGGTGTGTATATGTGTGTTTGTGGGCTATTCAGATGTTATGATTACTGTGCTTTCATTATATAAGTCTTCCGGCCCTGGTGAACTAAATTAAGGAGGGTCGTATCAAGTCATGAAGTCCTTGACAGCTTTAAAGTTTTAGAAATGCTGACAATGATGTGTTGTGACAATGATTTTTCACGTGAGGTTGAGTAAATGGCTTCATTAGCGTACACATCAGTGTA